AGCCTGCCTAATAACATGACAGTTCACGCCAGGTAAATTGTTTTGAGCCCACTCCGTGACAACAGAGCATGTTGTCGCTTGCCAGGGTTGACCCAACATCTTTAATCTAAAAGGTCATATATTCACCATGCCCAAATTGAATGCGGAGACTTTAACCTACAATACGTGAAGTTAGATGGAAGAATGATCTTTCTTCTGCCAGTCACTGTATTTTTAGAGGTTAAAACTTTTTTGAGTTTCGCTGTTAATGATTACAAAAACTGGTTAAAGAGGCAAAGTTGTCAGTTATTACTCCAGTTACTCTCTCTGAATAAAGAAAATCTGCCCATACTGACGGAGTCTCCAGCACGTTAGGTTGACCGAAATTCTTGAATTTTGATTAGAATTTTGGCTTATTCCCTTATTAGCACCCCTTGCACTGTTTCGACAGCATCTACGTAATTATGCAACATTACTCAGGTTGATATATTCTCACTTTATCGGCAAAAACTCTGAGGTCGGTTGCTATGTCTCGCTTCAGTTTACACGCCAAACACCCAGATGCATGAAGAAGGCTTGTAACCGACAAAATATTTCGTCGTTTGAGGTTTTGTTGTCTCGTGGCGGGACACTTATGCCTCATAAACTGTGAAAAATCAGTGTACACATCGTCTCCTCCAAACCGTAAGCAACTTTCTTACTCCTCCCGCTTGTCAATGGGCTTGAGACGGTTGAAAATGCAATAAAGTATTGCGACGTCACATAGTTTAGTAACGTACGTCACTGGACTGTCACACGATTTCGTGGGATATTCAGCACTTGTACACGATCAGACGAAACCAAGGCAGAATTGATATCCGTCAGCATAAGTGTAAGAAACTAAGCAGAGGAGGTTAAATAAGAATATATTGGAGACCCGAACTAAAATAATCATCACTATTATTGGACATCTAAAACCGTGCACGTCAGAGCAAAATAGACAATACCTATGAAGCCGAGTTTCGGAGAACTTAAGCATAACATGCGCCCAAATTCGTGTATGGAATTAAATTCAGAAAATGGCTGGAGCATGATATTCTGGCCCGTATGCCCTTTGAACAGTGGATAGAAATGCATAAATAACTAATCCACCGATCGTGTTTATATGCATGCCCGACTGAAGGACAGGTAAAAGGCGGGCTTTCTGGGATTTATATCGGCCCCTCCTCAATGGCGTCTTTGGCCCTGCGAAATTACGACGAAGACAAACGAGAAATCCAGGGGTTTCTGCGGGAGTTTTATAAAACAGAACCAAATGGCACCAAGCACTTTGTTTACCTGGAGCAGCTAGTACAGCAGCATAATCAGACTTTACCCTTTCTTAATAGACCAAACTTGCGAACAGAAGCCAGAATGTTTTACGGGTATCATTAGATGATCTGTGGGATACCTCAGAAGACTTAACGAGCGCCGTGGAGTTCAACACTGTTCGTTATCAGAAGCTCTTCGCCGAGGCAGTTGATGAGCTCCTGCCCGACCTCCGTGAGGGCGATGTAAGTCAGACCTTACACAATAATCAAGTCTTCCAGCCCCAAATTCGCGACGTTCTTGATATTTTTATCGACCACCGTATCAGAATGGAGCAGAGGATGCATGCAGCAGATGCGGAAAACTCAGCTGTTCCAATTGGACAGCGTGATCCTAATTACCGCCCGAATGCCACTGACATGAGGGAGATACGTTCAAAGTTTCCACCCGAACTGCTAAGACGCTTGTAAGCTTTTGTGGCCTACTCGCCACTTTGATGTATTTCGGACTGTTCTAATGATAGACTCCTTACCGGCATACTATCGCCTCCACAGGACTTGCTAGTGCACAATATATGGCGGTTCCCCATAGCGTTCGTTCCAGACATCCGGTGTGCACCACCATTTTACTCTTATTCGGCCTGCATGAGGGCTAAGCCCCGGAGTGTTTTAAGAAGTGAATTCTGACTGTGTGGGTTGGAAACTTCCTCTAGGTCGAGGCCCCAAGCACAACGGAAAGAGCGTGTCTTGCAACTCGGTCGGTGGAAGCACTTCTCCGTAATTAATATGCTTGATCGCAACGTACAGGGAAACAAGACCGTAGCTTAGTGGTAGGAGCATTGACCGTACTAACGTTCAGTAGTTAAAAGAACTCAGGTTTGGTCCTCAGGTGCTACCTGACGACGGCTAATAAGCCAGAAATGGCCATCTCAGACTTTTGTCTTTCTATTGGTAAACTCATTGATATATATAAATATATATATATATACATATATATATATATATATATATATATATATATATATAGAGAGAGAGAGAGAGAGAGAGAAAGAGAGAGCGAGAGAGATTAGGGTTGATCATTAGGAGTTAAACTAGAAACAGAGCTTTTATTAGAAGTTGGGAATAGATCAGGTCCTTTGGGAACGAAGTAACTTTTGTCGCACAAGTGGACAAAAAGCGGTTAACTTTAAATCCTTCGTAGCAACAGATTCTTCGGTCGGCTGACGTTTATGCCAGTAGGCCTCCGCCGCACAGTCATCCAGTCCGTACTGGCTGTGCCCGTTTCCATTGAACCTTGAAAATTTTGTGTTGTATCTAGGTCTATATGCCTATTGATGCATGCCTCGTCGGACTGCATTGTCTCCAGAACTTCGGCCTATTTTTATTGGACAGGCGACAACGGTGCGAGTGTTTCGCCACGCGGATCTATTCCATCTCTGGTGTGTGTATGACCTGGTCTCCACCGTTAGCTGATGCTCATAGATGTGGGTTGATACAGATTTCCGGGTTTGACTACAATAGATAGCACATGGTATTTTATAGACAAAACCGTTTGTATTAAGGTAGTTAACCGCACCCTTAGGGTGTGAAAGCTGGTTGGGTAAGGTTGTTAGGAGTTGGTGTGCTACTTGTGTCTGATGGTTTTTTTTCAACTGCCTTGCGACAAGCTCAGATGCATTATTCACGTATAGGAGGGTTAGACAGGTGATTAATTTGTGTGCGTCGGTGAACGTAACATTGGGAAAACGCGTCCTGAATTGTTGATGCCTCGTGCGAGTACCTATTCTCGAAAAGAATAGCTTGTTCGGTAAGTTTATTCGTTGGAACAGTGGGTTTTAGGTCGACGTAGCAAGCTGTTAGCAGAGCCGCGTTTGTTGAAGACGGAAAGATTGTGAGAAAAAATTTAAAACGACCTCGGAGTGTGTGTCTTTGTAATAAACTAGGGCTTATAGCGCTCTATCAGTCTGTACACGAGAAAATTCAGAAGTGGCGGTTGCCCACCAACCTCTGTTTCTTGCGTGGTACCCCAAAGTGGCTGTCAAAGCGACTGTACCAGCGACTTTGTTCCCCAGTTAAGGACTCTGAATGGGCAGTGAAGTCGACTGAAAAGTTGTTGACGCGTGTCCAACAATCAAAAGTGGACGCAGGCGAATTAATGGTACCATTTGGCGTGACCTCGTTATATACTTCTGTCCCACCCGGCCCGGCCATAGACACTGCTGACGGCCTTCTCCGTGTATGTTGGAGTTGTATTCACTTATACTTGGTACGGCTGCGGTCATGTCCGATCTAGCCGGCCTCAATGATGTAACGGACTGTACTTCCCCCGCGTGACGATCGGCGGCAGCAGATCTGGACAGCTCAATCCATCCTCTTCGCCAGCGACGGGAGCCAAACACCGAAAATCCGAGAACGACTTCCATGTCATGACGGACTGTGTCGAGCCAGGTTTTGCGTTGACCCTCTCTTCGATGCCTCCAAATGGGTACCTGTGCCGGGTCGAGGTTAGCAACACTGAACTGATGAGGTGGACGACGAAGAACGTGTCCCAACCATCGCAGTCGGCTTTCGTGAATGGCCTATATGTCTTTGCGTGTTGTCGCCACGAGTGTGCACTGTTTCATTTAAAAAAAAGTCGGTGTACTTAGCTGGAAGGATAGTCTTCAAGCAGTGGTGCTCATATACCTCTAGTTTTCGCTCGTCCTCAACGCGCACAGTCCGGCATTTGCAACTTTACAGAAGGACAGGCCGGACGGATGCACGGTACTTGCACATCTTAGTGGCGATGGTGATGTCGCGTCGGACCCATAGGCATTTTCTAAGGTTTGAGGAAATTCGGTGGGCAACATCAATTCCGGCTATAATGTTGTCCTTACTCTGTCCATTCGGCAGCAATCTCGTCCCGAGGTGGTTAAAACTGTCTACTTCAAGTTGACAGCCATCAATCCCCGAAGGTGCCTTCTCCTAGTTAGGGCTGCAGCTTGAAAACTCTTTGGTATTTTCTGTGTTTATGGATGAGTGACTGAATTAGTGACCTCGTTCAACCATGACACCATAGACTGCAGATTGCCAAAACATGAAGCCGATAAAGCGATATCACCAGCGTGGTCGAGATCAGTCAAGCCAGCGGCCGGAAGCTGACCAATAGTTCAGACGAATGGACGTCATCAAGCTCGCGGAACTGTGTCTTAAGACGTTCTCTAATGATCAGGTTTACAAACAAAAGAAGGGGACACCGACGAGCTCGCCTTTATCTGGAATAATTGCCAAAACAGCTTTGCAGAGGCTCGAGCATCAGTGGGCTAAGCATGGTTGGCCAGTTCATTTGGATAAATAGAACAGGATAACCCGTCCGTCGGAGATATTAGTATATCACGAACCGTCCGTGCATACCAGCTTATAAATCGCCCTTTCATAAGTTTAAGTATAAACACATTGCACTACTTCCCAAGGAGTTGTGGTCCTTTAGCATTTAATCGTAAGTATGGCGCATCGATCCTTTTCCCTTGACCTCGGAGAGCGTGGCGATGATTCTTAACCGTCTAAGCTTTATTAAGACCTCCCACGACTTGCCGATCACTGAGGGATATTGGTTTATTGGATTGCATATGCTGGTAGGGATACTCACTCCTATGTTGGACCATGTCGGACAAGGGACTGTTTCCCATAATCCAAGTGTTATTTTTTTTAGGCCACAGCCCTTTGCTTCGTTTACCGTGAAGTGCTCATCTTGTCATTGAAAAACTTTTTAATTTTCAGCGAAGTATATTTCATCGGTCGTTCGCAGTTCAAGCCAGTAAGCGTTAGAACCGTCCTTGCGTCAAGTATTGGCCACCTAATTCAAGTTCGCGGTATTGTATCTCGAACAACGGAAGTCAAGCCCCTCCTCCGTGTTGCAACTTACACTTGTGATCGCTGTGGAGCTGAAACTTACCAGGTAACAAATTCACTTACAAAATCTGCTCGTTGCTATCCCACCCTAGGCTTCATTCAGTGTTAAATCCATCCATTCTGGTTGTAATTGTGCAACGGTTCCTGGAAAGCTCCCGTTTATTTGTTTTCGCAAATGAGGTTTCGTGGATGTACAGTTACCCCGTCGACTGCAGTTTGCCAAACATTCAATTGCTTTTTTCTAATGTGTTATTTTGCCTTCGTTTCGCCTGCTTTCTAAAGACTAAATCTTACCTCGATAAAAAAAGCTTGTGCCTTGCTCATGCACGCTTGCGGACAGTGTCTAGATAATTTCAAAATTTCCCTGCCCTCATTGCAGTTGTCTTTCCGGAAATGCAGCTGCGTAGTTAAGCTTTTCGTCGTTTTCTAGTCTGTCAACCGCAGTAGTTCTAAGAGGCCCAATGTGCTCTTCCTTAGGAAATAACCAGTCCAAGCTTCATGCCGCTCATTCTCTGCCAAACGGCCGCATGTAAAGGTGCTGGCTCAGGTGGCGGTGGTTATCTCCATCTACAAACGCGTGGCTCCAAGTTCGTGAAATTCCAAGAAATCCGTGTTCAGGAACTTTCCGATCAGGTAAGCCCAACGGGTGTTTCGTGATTATACAACTACATTTTATCTGTTGGAAAAGTAACGTACGTTCGTAAACATAGGTTCCTGTTGGAAATATACCTCGTGGTCTGACTGTCTACGCTCACGGCGAAAACACTCGTCTTGTGCAACCTGGGGACCACGTCCTTGTCACCGGCGTTTTTTTGCCGTCTCTGCGCGGTACTGTTGCAGGCCGTGTAGCTTCTTCCATGGCAGGCGGTTCTAGCGCTCTTCTCGCCGATACCTTCCTGGAAGCTCATACTGTTGTGCCACTGAGTAAAACCGACTCCGTTTTGGAGTCAACACCTACAGAGGAGGAAGTTGAACGACTGTCCGGTAATAACTTTTGCTGTTATTAAGTATGATATCTGTCGTATTGCTGCGTCACATGTTCAAATTTTGATTCGTCCACTCCCTTCTGCCTACGAGGTTAGGCTGCTACGTTTTTCAAATTAAAGTTTGTACTTAAAAACGTGCAGTAGCTGCTATTCATTTGAAATCAACCTGTAGATGACGCCAAATTTTCGACCGTAGACAGGGTCTTACAACATTTTTGTATGTTTATCCGCCTAGATCCTGACATGTACACCCTCATGGCTCAGTCATTGGCTCCGGAAATCTACGGTCACGAAGACGTCAAAAAAGCTCTTCTCCTGTTGCTTGTTGGGGGCGTAGAACTAAAGCCGCAAGCTGGCTTGCGTATTCGTGGCAACATTAACATTTGCCTAATGGGCGATCCAGGTGTCGCTAAGTCTCAGCTGCTTGGGTTTGTCAGTCGAGTGAGTGCGCGTTCCCAATATACTACCGGCCGCGGTAGTTCCGGCGTTGGTCTTACTGCCTCCGTGATGAAGGACCCCTTTACCGGTATGTTTTCTCCTGACATCTTGTGCTGTCGCATGTACTGGTAAACACTTGGCATTCATCGGAATTTGCGGTTAAATCCTCTAGGAGAGATGACGCTAGAGGGCGGCGCTCTCGTTCTGGCTGACCAGGGCGTCTGCTGCATCGACGAGTTCGACAAAATGGCTGAATTTGACAGGTAATAAAAACCATCTAAAAGCTGTGTATACTAGCGTACCTGAGTAGGAGTTCCTCTTCTTAAAAAGCAAGTTTTACTTCTTCTTCTTCTTACCCCTTTTTGACTAGAACTGCAATTCATGAAGTCATGGAGCAGCAAACCATTAGCATCGCAAAGGCTGGCATTCTGACGACCCTAAACGCTCGTGTTGCACTCCTAGCTGCAGCCAATCCGGCTTATGGTCGTTACAATCCTCACCGCACCGTCGAACAGAATGTGGACTTGCCGGCTGCCCTCTTGTCTCGGTTCGACTTACTTTGGCTGATTCAAGACACGCCTGATCGGTGAGTTATGATACAAGTTAAAGATGCAAAGGAAAGTAGCTTGAAGTTGGGGCCTCGCAGTCTGTGTGGCACACTTGCTTTTGCGTTCATACTTTGCACCTCTGTCCCACCTTTCTTCCGATATGCGGCTTTCTCTCACCGTGTTATAGCACCCCCTTTGAAGTTTTGCTGTATCCCACCCTTTGTGTTCTAATTGAGTTGGTGACGTGCATTCAGATGTGCGATTTGCCAAATGACGAATTTGGAATTCGCGAATGACATGACCCTCTGTAGTGAAAAGACGTAGGTATGGCGTAATAACATTCTATTATCTTTGCGGGTAAGACGACGTCCTTCCAGCCTGAGGACGGGCCATCTGTCGAGTCAGTTGGCTTCAATGGTGCAGCGGTCCTCAACGAATGATAATTTCACAAGTAACAGACTCTTGTATCCCACGAACATTCCTGGAAGGTAAGCGACAGTGCGACCTGGATGAAGGTTTACGTACGATACGTTGACTACCCTATAAGATGTAACAGACCTTGATGGGGACAGTGGAACGACCGTCACGAATGATGGATCAGCTGCGCCAGGTGTGTGTGCTTGTGTTTATGTTTCCGGTCCCAGCTGGTGGTCAGGGTTATGATTGAGTGAAGGCAAACAAGCCCAAGGCAGTCCTGTATCAATCTACCCTCAAGACCCTGTCCTCCTCCCTCTGCTATCATGTCTTGGTCGACTTCGGTCTGGCAGGTGGTTGCCTGTTCGTGACCCCTGTCACCCATACGAAGTTTATTTGTCTCGGAAAGCCGATGGGTTGTGTGTGCCCTTTCCCGAGCGAATATATACATGTATATATGTAATGGTAGGGGCGCTCACCGATCGTTCCTACGGAACTCACTCGTTCTGTTGTGCGTTACGGGCTCTCCAGCCCAACCAGCAGCCGCACAGCGGCGCATGATATAGGCAGTATGTTATTGCCGACAAAGACAAGGGAGACTGGAATGGCCATTTCTGGTTTATTAACTGTCGTTAGCCAGTCATACCCCACCCCGGAGTGTGGAACACCCGAGGCTCGAACTCGTTGTGCCTATATAATGCGCCGCTGTGCGGCTGCTGGTTAGGCTCGAGAGAGAGCCCGTAAGGCCCAACGTAACGAGTGAGTTCCGTAAGAACGATCAGTGAGCGCCCCCTACCATTGTATATTCCCGATCGAAACCGACAGGGCAACGAGCTCGTGGCCCAGTGGTTAGAGGTGTAGACTTCTAACTAACAGGTTGCGAGTTCGAGCTTTGGGTGTTCCACACTTCAGGGTTGAGTATGACTGGCTGACGACGTCTAATAAGCCAGGAATGGCCATTCCAGTCTCCCCTGTCTTTGTCGGTAATAACATGATGTATATATGTATAAAGGCGTATGTTATCTCATGAAATTATAACCTAGATTCTGAAATGTTTTCTTGTCGTAGATACTACTTAAGTAGGGTCTTAATATCAATCATCGTGCAGTATAATCGCATGGTATTTCAGTCACGTCAAGATGCCGGCCTTTTTTCGGCTGTCTGCAAAAGCGACAGTAAAGATGACTATTGAAGTAACGCGCGTTTTTGCCATTGGTTTTCGGGGCCCTTATAAATTCACTTATATTCTATAGAAAACGTGCCCAAAAATATTCTTTCCTGTACTTATTCGGTGACAGATTACGTCTTCAAATCTTGTACTTGGTGAAAGAATGTCTTTCGGTTTTTAAAAACGCCGATTCCCGAATAATTTCGAACCCCGCCTGTCGTTACACTTGCACTCCGGGTTTCTAAACCGCATGATGTACACATTCCGTCAACGGTAGATCACACACTTCTCTACGCTGCTAGGACTCGTAAACTTGTGCAACGGATGTGCACCAGATTGTATACTTTACAAGCAGCATTAATAAATGGACTGATGCGGTGCTGTATGAGCGGACGATTTACAGCCTTAAAACCGAAAGATACCCCCTCTTCAACTATAACATTTGGAGAAGACGTAATTTGCTACCAAATGAGCACCAGAGAAATATTTGTGTGCATGTCTTCTATAGAATGTAGTCAAATTTAGATGAGCATCGAAAAGCAGTGGGTAAAGCTGCATGCTACTTAAGTAGTTATTTTTAGTCTGGTTTTTGCGGACGGTCATAAAAAAGCGCATTAAAAAGCCGGCATTTTAGGGTGACTGCAGTACCTTAGGATTATGCTACACTGCAATTTATATGGCAACCCTACTTAAGTAATCTTTTGGGATAAACATATTTCAGATTTTTGGCCAGCACCTGGAGGTTGAGCATGCCTGACTGATGACGGCTTACAGGCCGGAAACGGCCATTCCGGTCTCCCTTGTTTTTGTCAGAATACCATTATCGTACTTTTTTCTACTATAGCGAAAACGATATGCGTCTTGCCCACCACATCACCTACGTCCATTCTCATGGTGCTGCGCCTTCGACTGTGGGCGGTCTGAACGAAGGATCGGCCTCATCGCATGGCGGCTTTGGACAGACTCAAATTCTTCCACTGAATGAACTGCGACGCATGGTAGCCGTCGCACGTGCCCAGCCGGCTCCAGTCGTGCCGGCCTACCTGGCAGACTACCTGGTCGGGGCCTACGTGGAGATGCGCAAAGAAGCACGAGTCAATCGCGAAATGACATACACCAGTGCAAGGTTTGTGCTTATTATTTGTTTCGCTAATACTGCTGTACTTTTTTCCCTTACCTCTTCTACCATTCCTTTTTACTTTTTAGAACTCTGTTGGCTATCATGCGACTCTCCACGGCGAGGGCTCGTTTACGCGCTGGCGCGGAGGTCACCAAGGCGGATATTGACGAAGCAATGCGCCTTATGGAGGCTAGTCGTGCCTCAGTACACAATCCTCTCGGCGGCCCTCGTGACCGTAATCGGTAAACTGATGTATACCTCATCACATTTGCCGGCGAACGTGTGGTATCACGCAGTAGCCTTTTTGTTTTTTTTTCAATAGGTAGTTCTTTTATGGCAGATGAACCTTCATTGTTTTCTTAGGTAGTGGTTGAGTATGCGAGCCCATGTTTTTGTTACTGTATCGTACTTATTTGACCTTGCTAGGCACGTTAGGGTTACGCTTCTGGCTGGGCTCAAGAAAATGATTAAATTTATGGTTACGATTAGGTTAGAGATTAGGATTAGGGGAAAGGTTAGGGTTGGGGTTAAGTTCGCCTGCCGTATACAGTCTCACCCAACGCCTCCTTCAGCCAGTAACCTGGGATTACTTGTTTTCTGCCCGTCTACACGCCACCTAATTCGCATCTTTCAGTTTGCGCGGTCTGTTCGGACACCTCGTTGACATAATAAACAAACATGACTGAAATACGAATTTTTACAATGCCTTCCACAGATTCAGTTAATTTCCGCGCCCGTCTGCCCTACTGATAACATTAATATTATAATCCCTCCCGTATTTCAGGAGTCTCTGTGCCCTATCTCTTCAGTGGGCTTACACATCCGATTCTTGCCTTGTCTTTGTGCCTTACATACTCCCCTTCCCTGTGCCAATTTCATTTCGTTCTCTCAATCCTCAACTCTTCCGGCCTCCTTAGATTCTGACAGGGAAATGACCTCTTTCACACGATGGCCTTTGCTGCAGGCTTGATTTTTGAGGTTCTGCCAGACCCTTTGTTTTTATTTGTTCTAGCCCCGCCTCATACAAAGACAACATCTACCAGGTTATACGTGACCTCTTAACCGCGGGTGGTGGCTCGACTCGTCTGGCGGATATTATGGAACGCTGCGCTACCAAAGGCTTTACGCCGGCCCAAGTAAGTGCAGTTGCACGATTTACATACGTTTGTGTAAGGCAGCGCAAGTTTATCAGTGTATGGCTACGGCCGCTACCGACTTGTGCGAACGCAGTGTTCTTCAAGCCCACCGCTTGTCGCCGTTAGGGTCTTGTGTACTGCCAAGCGCCGCATAAATATTTGGTGTTTGGATGGTCTTTCGTCTGTCCTCTCTTCCTATTGATTTTTTCATTGGGCTTCATCTATTGCCTATTATGTTCATTTAGGTCAATGAGGTGGTGGACGCCTACGAAAATCTGAATGTTTGGCAGGTGAACATGGGCAGGACTCGGCTCACTGCGGTCGCATAAGGGGCCAGAATTTGGCTGGATTATGGTTTTATATATGTATGCTATTCATTGATAAACGTATTTGCCTTCTAAATAGATTTTATGTCGTTCCTATAACCACGTTCTTTTAACTTTCCTGCCTCAGCCGAATGTAAGGCCGCCAGTTCTTTTGTGGAGACGCTTCCCTTATCTACTTTCCCGCCAGGCTGTATTGTCGTACCTTTAGTTTTGTCGTGGCTACCTGTCCGTTTTTGCGTGACTTTCTGAAAATTTGAGTGATATCGCGATGTCAGCTGGGGTCTACTTGCGCTTTGCAGCAAGGGTTATTGGGTCACGTCTGGTTTTTGCTTCAGACGGTACACGCAGCAAATATATGAGCCGTAGCACGTTCTTGTCTGAACAAGTTTTGCGCGGCGGCTTTCGGACCTCTCCTAGTCGGGTATGTGGCTTCGCGTCTCCGGGCGTCTGCCACTCAGTCAAATGACCGGAGTTGGTCTTATTGTAGAATTTTGCGACAAACACGGTTTTTGCTAGACTTGCACGTTTCTCTGACTACCCAGCCACCTCGACAATCATGACCCTTTGCCCTTTACTTATGCCTGAGATCTCTTCACCCCCCTGACAGCTTGTGAGTAACTTGGGCCCGTATCCACCCTCCCCTGCCCCCGGTTCCGTCCTTTTGTCTCAAAGGTAGGACTGGAGTGACAATGGCGTCGCCTTATCGAGTATTATAGGACCATATTTTTGGTGGCGAGAGCTTGAACAGGGCTTGTCAAACCATGCCCCTTGTTTTCAGCTTTCGAGCCTGGTTTGTGATAAAATACAGCCTGGCATGGTAGGCGAGATTTGTAAAGCTGAGGGGACGACAGAGGGGCAGTGTCCACACTGGAGATTGCTTGCAGATGTCCGGCTGCCAAATCGACCAGGTCGAATCCTCCGCAGCTGTGCCCCGTCGGTTTATGCCTCTAGGTTGCTCCCTTATTTGTTCGTCGTCGCGACCAGCTCGATGAGTGTTTGGTTTTGGGACATTTGCGGTTGATGGCGCTACCGGCGGAACATAGAGGGCCCTGATACTTGTTAGACGCGCCTGCCGATAATCTCGAAATGGTCAAGGCAGATGCCAAACAGACTGGCACACTATTTGCCCTTCGTGGCCGAATAGGATTGACCTTGTTCCTCCGTCCCTGGCGCCAGGAAGTCGGAGTCGTTCATTGCCCTCCTGTTACTGGCACGCTTTGTCCATGAATACTAAATATGTCATATCTCATTCTGACGAGTAGGCTCATAGATGCCTTCCATAAACTCCTCAGAGCTGCAAAACAGGTGGGGAGGTGAGTTTTGCCACAAATTCACTTCGCCTGTGACTGTTAGCCCACTCCTGATTCTATCAGAAGTCGAGTTTGCCGCTCATCACCGTCAGGTTCTGTCCTCTGCTCGGTAATTCGTGAACGCCTGTCTAACTGGTAACCGTAGGGGGGTGATGCACGACAGTCCTCCTGAAGCTTCTCCGACTTGAGCCCTTCACAATGTCCTGTAAGCAACGCGGAGGGTGCTCCGTATTCGTATGTGGTGATTGGATTTATGGAAAAAATGTCGCTCAGCGCGACAAACGGTCGCTTCCTTATGATTGCCGACTTCGTGGTGGCTGCGGGGCCTATCGTCGTCCGATAGCAGATCCCCACCGATTTACAGAGTTCCGGAGGTTGAACGTGTCATCCTGGGAGCGGAGGTTGGTTCTGAGAGTTCTTGCTATTGCATTCTGCTCCAACCGGCCATCTAACATCCAAATCCATCGGCAAATGGGGTGCAAGTCCTCCGTGTTCCCTCCCATAAAGGAAACTTGGACCCGGTGGACCGGAAGTACGAGGTTGCCGCATCGTACTTGACATACGGTGGGACATTCATCACGGCGGACCAGGGGAACTCTCAGGCAATTATTGCTTGCTGTTAAACGTACCAGGGATGATGCATCTTTATTCGTCTGAGCATAAGAGTTCGCATTTCGCTTCCTCAAGCACAGTCACGCTTAACGCAGGCCTTTCATTGCAAATTAGCACGAAACGGATGTCGCTGACCCCAATAAGTTAGGCGCTGTGTCAAATTCCACAGCATGTCCTAGTGGATGTCTTCTGGCTGGGCGGGTTCCTTTTACCCTTAGGTTGCCGCAGAGATTGTTTTAAGTACACTGTCGGGTTGGAAGCACATACGCACCAGTGACTGCAGTGACGTATGTATATGTATATTGAAGGGTTACAGGCAGAGCCCTTGATGACCCTATTTATGTACAGTGCTTTTGCAGATTCATACTCAAAATAAAATAAAATTGCAGGCATTTAAAATGTGATTGGGTCACAGTTCAATCGTAATCATAAGGTAGTGCATGGGGTCACTGTAAATTAGTGCGGAAGATTGTATATGACAGATTTTACAAAACTGGCTGTGCATAGTCATGCTGTACAAGCCGATTTCTGTCGAAAACTAGACGAGCAAGTTTTCTTTTAAACACACAAACTGTGTCAGCCGTCACCATGTCGCTTGGAAGCGAGTTCCACGGCCTGACAATCCGCTGGCTGAATGAAAATTTTCGTCGGTCTAAACGCGTGCGCTCATTCCCGACTTTGAATGCTTGGCCGCGTAGTTGGTTTGTTCGGGCGAACTCAAAGAAGTCCTCTGCTCTTAATGAGCAATCCTGGCCGCGAACAATCCGGAACGTCCAGAGTAGACTACAGTTTATTTGTCTATGATAGCAGCGATCCAGTAAACGGGAGATGGCGAACTCAGAGATTCTGGTGACGGCCCATTCTGGCGTGATTGTACAACTCCCAACGTTATTTGGTGGTCTCGTGGACTACGGCGGATCGAAAGTAGGGGAAATCGACGAGGGAAGTCATTGAGCCAAGTCGTTTTTGGAATCGTGAAGAACGGTCCGGCCTGACATCGGTTCCTGTGGGTGGCGCTAGAGGGTTGTTTGTTCCAACAATTGGCCCCCAATACCCTCGCCAAACGAATTCAACGTGTGTTTTACAAGTCCTCCATCGTGTTGGTGCTTCGTGTGTAAATTTCCTCAGTCGCAAACTTTTCTATAGACGCTCCCTGCTCCGCACACCAGTGCTTATGAAGTGTGTAACCGCACAAACATATGCGCTATATCGGGTTTTCGTTTCATCTCATGCTGTTTTTTCCATCATCATGCAGAGTAACGACGGACTCCGGACGCAAAACTCCTCATAGTTGTGATCAGCGCCAGAAGTTAGTCTTCTTGAATGTGGTGGAATAGCGAACCGCCCATCTCAAAGCGACCAAAGATCGATGAGTACCAGAAATTGATGCTAAATATTGAAAAAGAGGAGACATTTGAGGGAACATGAAGACGAGCGTTCAAATGTCTAGGCAATCCCCCCCACCCCCAACTCCTCCAGTCCTGCTAGCAGGTTCCAGGGTCCCCAACACCGGTGATGTGTTGCATCGCTGTCGCGTTAAATCATAACGGGAACTCCACTTGCTCATGACATGCGTTGATTAGGCTGAGCGGTGTTTGCGTGAGTACTCAATCATCGCCGCACGTGTGTGTGTGTGTGGTACGTGAGAAACAGATGATTACACCACGTAAGCCACCGCGCCCAGTCGAATTACCAGTCAACCGATAGACTCCGGTAGGCCATATAGCGACACGCTAACAGTCGTGACTTCACAGGTTGCCAACAGATGGGATGCATAAATATTCTTTGGACGTAGGATAAGGCCCCTGGGGGTCATTTTTAATGCTGTCTATGTGACATTCTCACTTACGTGAGCCCGAGACCCCTGGACTAATTCTGGCGCGTGTGGAGGTGGGAAGTAGGTTGTTGGTGGCACGTGTATACGAGCTAGTTAGCTTTGTCAGTCAACGCAAACCTCTACTCATTTTCACCTTATCTTGCCACTGGGGCATGACGAGTGTGAGAAAAGCAGACGAAGTGGAAATGGCGAGCGTCAGCTTGGTCCTAGGCGAATTCACATTCAAGGCGCCACTGTCGGGATTATTGTCCTTCGCGATGAACGGCGAACTGTAGGATATGTACACTCTGGCATCAAGAATGCCTATTTAAAATAAATCAGGAAAGTTTAAGATCGGAAGCATCCGTGTGATCGTAAACAGTTCGCAGATCAGGGTGTACGGATGTCCAGTTGGTGGAGCACCCGTGCAGGGGTGGTAGGTTTTACCTAGCAAATGATGACTGCCTCTCACGGCCATTAACTAGCGCCAAATTGTCATCTGAGGCTCGCCGAAGCTAGGTTCTGGCTAGCATCCACTCAGCGGTAACCGCCCCGATCGACGGACTAAACCAGGACGTAATAGTAACTGGTCAACTTATTTTTCGTTCGAATTATGATGTATACATGTATGTGTATCATATACATATATGACAGATGGTCTACCATACTCCTGACAACGGTGCTAGCTAAAAGCTCACACACGTGATTCGACAGTATTCCGCCGCTGCGTGACACAGATGCGAGGGGTTTGGCTCCTCAGTAGGCTTCCCAGCGTTCTATATGCGGTTTCTGGTGTGTGAATTCCAGAGAAAAATCAAGCTAATAATTTCATAAATCATTAAGTGCAGGACGTGACCGGGACGTGATCTTCTAGGGTCAGACCCGGTATGGCCATCTTTCATGTAAACCCATACTACTAGTAGTACTATTTCTTCGTAGGATGGACGTTAACTGTCTTCAATGTTAACTGAAATTTCGGGTCCGACCCTAGAAAGTCGCGCCCCGGGCAATTAACCCTGCACTGAAGACGAGCTGGGGAACCAGTCTCGAAAATTCACAATAAAATTTTGCTGTTTCCCAAAGAATTTCACCTTCCTAAATATATACGTATATATATGAGATGATATCGACAAAGACAGGGGAGACCGAAATGGTCATTTCTGGCCTGTTATTCGTCATCAGCCAGTCATACTCAATCCCAAGTGTGCGTGACTTGGGATTCGAGCCCGGGATATTTGGTCCTGGAGTTTGAAGCTCTGTCATTG